AGGTCTGAGCAGATGCAGGTACCAGAAGGGAGGGAGTGAATCGGTGCACAGACCAAAGAGTGCTTGCTCCTCTTTCTGGAAGTAGCTAAGATATGGTAAGGTAAATAAAACAGTGCATAGAAGAATCAAGAGTGATCTGAGGAGTGCTGGGGGCCCTTCCTGCAGGGTCAGAAGCTGGTGGCCACAGACAGTAGGACAGGACAGGCACTCTATCCTGAATGACCCAACGCTAGCGTGTCTTTGCTGGAAATGCCCCAGGGAACCAATTCTGGAAGGTGTCAGTGTTGGGAAGGAATGGGTAAGGAAGGTGGTTCCAGCAGCAGATGAGGTGAGAGGCAGCAGTGACCCGTATCCATGTGCCTGGGGGACAAAGCCCCTGGACACTCCACATGAGAGGAGAGGGGGCAGGTCCCAACCCTCTTGCCCCCAGAAGGCCCATCTCAGTCAGCCTGGGTCCCTGTAACAAGACACAACGCACGGGCGTGTAAACAGCAGATAAGTATTCTTCACAGCTCTAGAGGCTGAGGCCTGAGATCAGGGCACCAGCAGATTCAGTTTCTGGTGAAATCTTTCCTGGCTTCCTCAGACCAACACTAATCCTGTGGGGTCAGGTCCTCCGCAGGGCCTCATTTAACCTTAATACTCCTTAGAGGCACCATCTCCAAACACAGCCACACCGGGGTGCGGGCCTTGGTGTGTGCATTTGGAGGGATGCACAGGGCTCATCGAGAGAAGGATAACTCTAGTGACAGCTGAAAACTGGTACCACTCAGCTAGCTGTACACGCCTCCGTTGCTGGTCCTAAGACCATCAAGGCAAACTGCCCTCCTGACATGCTGCGCGTGGGCAAGGCCTCTCGGGAAGGTTCTGGGGCACACCCTCCTGACATGTGGGCTTCTGGACCCGCCCACCAGGTGAGCAGGGGCCAGGACTCACCCCTGCAGGGCTCCATTTAGCATGTGCAGAATCGAGCCCCACGGGCTGAGCGGAGAAAACGCAAAGGGACGGGAGGCCCAGACACGGCCCGTGGGCAGCACTGACCCAGGGTCGGAATCTCGACGTTCCCACAGACAGCCAAAACTGCTTTTCCACCTCCCCCTTCTCGCTTCATTCTGCTTATCGCTCCTGTTGCCCTCTCTGACACTTCTCTCCACAGAGTCAGGAGCCCTGGCTGATGCTCCCATCACAAGACTCACGGGATGGACACACCGTGTGGACCTTGGGTCTGTTACCTGTGAGTGGTGGTTCTCCACTACCTGAGCTTTGCTCCTCTGGCCAGCAAGTGTCCCAGACGAGCCCACACTGCAGAGCTAATGCCTGGGAGGGTGGCCGTAACCAACTACCAGGCTTAAGTGAGGAGGTGCTGGGGCTTCTCAGGCCCCACATCCTGGGGGAGCCCACCTCGAGGGTCCTGTTTGTCCTGACTTCCCCCTTTTTCTCAGCCCCCAATTTCCTATCATGTGAACGAAGAAATCCACAAGACTGGAAAATCCCAGTCTTGCATTTGAGCAGAGGGGTTGATAATGTAGAAGCATTGACTGGCCCCTTGCCTGTGCAAAAACCAGATAAAAAAAAAATTAAAAATCTGCTGCCTTTCAAAAATCCACAAAAGCCAGCACTAAAGTAAACATCACAGGCAAGTTTTCTTATTACCATCTGAAGCTGAAATTTTCCAGGTCACATCCTTCCCAAAGGTGACATTTTATGGAAGCTTTAATGAAATTAACTCATCTATTTCTGAGTCAGGAAGTGCAGATTAAGATCCGATTTTTTGCAGCCTGACTTTTTTCTAACTCCACAGTGAAAACGAATTCGGGAAACTTTCTACAATTTCCTCTAAACTGTGCAGCTTCAAGGGGATCCCACACTTCAGAACCCTTGACAGAAACGGTGCTGTGGAGAAACCAAGTTTTGTTCTGACACCTGACTGTGACAGTGGCCAGGCAGCTGTGAGCTTTGGGCTGGCCCACCTGCTGCAGGACCTGGAGTCAGCCCTAGCTGCTCAGACAGACCTGAAGGGCGTCCGCGTGCACCAGCGGGAGGCGTGGGGTGGCAGGTCGGGAACATCACCGACCACTAGTTAAGAGAGGTGAGGCGTTCAGGCAGATACTTGAACAGCTGCCTGAACCCCTAGAAACAGCAGACGGGAGCCTTTCAGAGACCACCAACCCTGGCCTGGCTGGGAACAGCTGGACCCATCCAGAGAAGTGACCTGGTTCCCTCCCAACCACCCAGCCAGGAGGTCAGGTCTGCAAGGGTGTGTCAACAGGAGGTGAACCACCAACCCCACCCAGGGCAGCCCCAAACCTGCCCGAGCTGCCTAAGGAGGCCACCGTGGAAGCTGAGGTGGCCGTCCATAACAAAGGGGCTTCACAAAGGCAAGTCTGGGGACCACGCCCTTGGTGTGGACACCTGGCTCTCCGGCGCATTTTGTATGACTTTGTCGACTTACTCATCACATCACAAACCTCCTAGAAAAGCACTCTTGTCCTACACAACACGAAAATGTTCCAAGTCACCTCAGTGAACTGATCTTGTCACCATCGGGGCTCAGAGTGCCCACCAGATAGCCACAGGCATGAGGAGGCAGGCCCCCAGCATGGGGATAGAACCCCTGGGGCCTGGGGATGCGCCCCAGGGCAAAGCGATGGGCCCTGGGCATGGGGATAGAACCCCTGGGGCATGGGGCTGGGGGCCCCTGGCCCTCTCAGCTTCTACTCAGAGCACAGATGCTCGGAAGAGCACCCCCAGTTACACCAGTCTTCCCATCTGCGGGCCTTTCTTGGCCCCTCACCTGGGGTCCCAGAGCCACCAAGAACCTGAAATCTAAGATTCCAGCACTTCAAGGAGAGAGGGCCTGAGCCAGACATGTGGACACTGGGAAGGAGAATCCAGACAATAGACATGGCTTTGAATGTGGCCAGTGAGAAAACACAGCAGCTGCAGCTATGGAGGTTGGGGGACAGGACTGCACTGCATACAGCTGGTCCTGTCACCCGAGGGCCTGGGGATACCCCAGTGCAGCTGGGGAAGGAACACAAAACCCCTCTGTTCCATGGGGAAGGGGCCCAGACCACAGCAGGGAGAATACAAGTGACTAGCAGCCCCCGCCCCTGCCCCGTCCCGAGATGTAGGACCTTGGCAGCAAGGGGCCAGAGCCTTGGACAGACTGGGGTGAGGGGCTGCCTCAGCGCAGCCTGCAGACAGCGCCTGCCCCTTGCCTCCTGTGGGAAGCCCACCAGCCCACAAGACCCTCCTGGTGACCTCCACTGAGTGCCACGCACCATTCTCTGTCACCCTACAGAATACTTCAGCGGGAGTGTTTTGTGAGCTTGGGCTCCAGCCATGGAAGTCTGGGTGACGGACACCCAGGTGGCACCCTTTTAACCCAAAGGAAGAGTGCGAGGTTTAGTGAGGAAGACTGACCTGGGTTGAGCGCTGGGTGAGCTCCAGCCCCGGCTGCGAATCCCACGGGGCCACGTCAGGGATGGAAGAGGCAGCACGGGGATGCACAGGGGAACAGGGGAGCAGGGATGCCCCAGAGGGGTCCTGTGCATGGCCAATGTGGCAGCCACCAGCCCTCAGGACCAAGCCTGGCTCAGCAGGCCACATGGCCATCCAGCCCAGTGCACTCGGCCTCCCCATGATGACAGGTGGCCTTTCCATGATGGGACATCTCAGTGTGGCTCAGGACCAGCCCAGACTACCCACTGGGCTCCACACCCCAGAGCAGAGAGGGCACACACATGGGTGAGCCCCCAGGGTTCTGGGGTGTCAGACAGAGGTTGGGAGGGAGCTCCATGCAGAGCTCTCACACACAGAGCAGGCTCTCCGAGCCCAGTAGTGGTCAGAGGATCTGGGATTCCTGCTCCATGAGAGAAAATGGAGGCCAACGTGTGGGGGGCCCTTTGGAGGGGTCAGTCGGCAAGGTGCCCAGGTGGAGTATGCACTGGGCAGAGCTGCCGGCAGGCCCCTAATGTTTCCTCATGGTGGGGTCTCTGGAGGAAGTTGGGATTGAAGGTAGGCTAAGTCCTCAAGAAAACCGCCCTCCCTCTCCTGGGGGGCTGCAGAAGGCCAGCAATGCACAGTGGCCGAGTCGCACCTCAGACGTGTCTGATTAAGGTGCGTTCGGGCCTTGCCATAATCGTCTCAGGGCAAATTGTCCCCACAGGTGTGGGAGCTGGGACAGACCTGGGTTCACATCACCCGAGGACCTCAGCCCTGGCCAGCGTCCTCACTGCAGCCCAGGGTGTTTTGTGCAGCAAAATGAGGATGTGCAAAAACCGACCTCCAAAGCCTTTGGGTAGAGAGTATAGACTCTGCTGTTGGCCACAGCCCCCACCACTCCCTGGTGCCCAGACCTGCCCCTTTACACATTTGTCTTACCCACTCCCAAAGACCTGTAGTAAGCTGCGATTTGGTAAGAAGTTCAGACTTAATTCGGGACGATGACGGCAGTCATGGGCCCTGAAACAGGGTGGTGACAGCCACATTTCTTTACCAGGAACTGAGCCAAGACACGTGGAGAATGAGGCCTGGTTGGGAGCATCAGATATAGGAGAGCACCCATCCCCGGCTACTGCAAGGGACTGACACACCAGGGACCCCTTGCGCAGAGGGGCTGGTGCCTGGCTGGGATCACAGCATCCCCGGGACAGACAAAGCAACAACACGGAAGGATGGCCACCCAATAGTAACACGGGCTAATGGGGGAACACGGCCTCCTGAGCTCAGCCCTGGTCCTGCTTCCCCACAGAGAGGATCTGCCTGGTCCTCTGAAGCCCTGAGGCTGTGGGGAAGCTGAGCAGGGGGAGGGCCAGTCCCTGAGCCTTGCACAGGGCTGCCCTGGGTCATCAGCACTCAGTGCCCGCTCCTCTAAATGATTACCCAAGACAGGGTGCAAACTGGTCCATCCCAGTAAAGTGGGGTGGGCCCGGGTGAGACCGAAGCGAGCCCAGGTGACACCCAGCTGAGCACAGATGGACAGAAGAGAGTCCTACCTTCAAAGAAGCTCTTCACCCTGAGGTAGCTGACGCTGAGACGCAGGACGGAAAGCTTGTCCAGCTTAGACACGATGTCAGGAGGAAGCGGAAGCAGGCTGGCCAGGTGGTCCAGCTCGGCGTTGAGGCGGTCCCGGTGCCGCTTGGACGGGTTTGACTTCTCAGCCCCCGTGGCCGGCCTCCTGCAGGGAAGCAAGCGCCATCAGACTCAGGGTTTCCCGCCAGGGGCTGTCACCCCATGGAGCACACACCTGTCCCCAGAAGTGACCTTATGGCGTGGATCAGCTTCTAAGTGAGAAAAGGTGCTGAAAAGGACAAAAGGCTCCTGATACTGTGCATACGAGGAAGCTGGGATCCATTACCAGGAAGGGCGCTCAGAGACAGAGAGCAGGTCTCCTTGGACACAGCTGCAGGCAAGCTGTGTGGCTCCAGCACATTTCTTGACCTCTCTGTGCTAACTTTTCCCCAAGTGTGAGGAGGATCCCTGGCCCCAGGCTGCATGTGCTCAGCCTCTTCCAGGCTTTTCTTAAACGCAGGACCTTTTCAGGACCTGCAGTCCAGGTGTGACTGATGCTTCTGGGCCTCAGTTTCTCCTCTACACAGCAGGGCTGAACGGGTCCAAGGAGGGGGTAACAGAGGACCCTTGGGCACCTGGGCGCTGTCCCACCCGCCCTTCTGAAGCCCTGACGTCATGGGCTGTGCCTCTGTAAGGTGGCTGGTGGCCTGGGTTCCATTTCCCTTTGCCCCACAACAGATCTGCTCTCCCCCACAAGGGGGATCCCCCTGCCCAGGGCTTCCCTGTCCACCATCCTGGTAGAGGGCAGAGCTGGCCTCCCTCATCTGACCCTCTTACCACCCCCCCCCCCCCAGAGTTGGGTGGAGAGGCGGCAGGGGGAGGGGCTGTTGGCGCTGGACCCAGGTTGCCTGGCTCCCAGGGCCAACCCTCCCTGGGGTCATGGCACCTGGGAGGCTGGAGGGCTCCTGCTTTTAGGGGCTGAGGTCTCTTTTGTCTAGGAGTTCCTATTTGTCCCTGTGTGTTCACTTACAAGTGTGGTGAGACCCAGCAATCCGTCTGTCAGGAGGGGCCCGCAGCACAAACCTACTTTGCAGAGTCTGAGGGCCCCTGGCCACAAAAGCACAGAGAAGCCTGATGCCCCGATCCCAGAGGCCACTTCTTTGTTTACTTTGAGGTACAATTCACACAACACTAGCTTTTCAAAATGTACATTCACCTCTATCAAGTCCCAAACATCTCACGGCTCCAGATGAAACCCTGTACCCATTCAGTAGTTTCTCCCGGTCTCCCTCCAGCACCCCTGGCAACCACAAGCTGCCTTCTGTCTCCACGGCTCTGCCTGTTCTAGACATTTCACACACGTGCAGCCACACAGTTTGAGCCTTTTCACGTCTGGCTTCTTCCACCTGGCATCATGTCTTCAAGTAACTGTGGTGCAGCGTTTATCAGGACCCCATTCCTTCTTCTGGGTGAATAACACTCCGTCGTGTGGATGGACCACATTTGCTCACCTGTTCACAACTCGATGGAAGTCTGGCCAGCTTTCACTCGACGGACATCGTACCCAATGCCGTATGACCCTAAGACCCTGCTCACACCTAATTTTCAGTTCTCTCAGTGCACGCCCCGGAGTGGACAGCCGGGTCGGTGTGGTCACTCCATTTCACCTTCTGAGGAGCTGCCAGACTAGCGGCTGCACCCAAAGACATCACCACCAGCACCGGGTGAGGGTTCGGCGCTTCATACCCTCATGGACACATCAGTTTCCTTTTTCGCAGGCGTGAAGGAGTGCCTCGCTGCGGTTTGACTGGTATTTTCCTTAACGGCCAGTAATGGTCACCCTTTCACATGCTTGCTGGGCGTCTGTGTGTCTTCTTTGGAGAAATGTCTCCCCAAGTCCTTTGCCCATTTTTCAACTGGGTTGTCTTTTTAATGTTGAGTTGTAGGAGTTCTTTATATTCTTGACAGAAGCCCTTTATCAGATACATGATTTACAAATATTCCTCCTATATCTTTGCTTTTCTCACTTTCTGCTGTTTTTCTTCCTTAATGAGGCATATGCCCCCAAATCACTCATGCTGCTGGGCAAAATTTAAACCGGCAGGAGGCCTGGAGATAAACTGAGCAGCTCCAGTGTGGGCTGGCACCTGCTGGCTAGAGCAGAGCCCCCCACCCCCACCCCAGTCAGTGAAAGACACCCGAGGCCTCCCCAGAGACACAGGAGCACTCAGGGCAGGTGTGAGGGTCAGAGAAGGGGAGACAGTGGGAGACCGGCAGGTGGCCCCTGCTGAAACCTCACCTCTGTGCAGGGCTGGGAGGGGGGAGCTGCTCCCCTGTCTCCCCAGACAGCCTGTGCCTGAAGATGAGCTGGGCCATGATATTTCTCCTACCCCTGCCCTCTTGGGGCACCTGCGGGAGGGACACTAGCCTGCTGGAGAAATGGGCGTTGGAAGAGCCCCTTCAAAGTTTCTCACAATACTGGCTGTCCCGTGATGCATCTCCGCCACCCCATTCCCCAGTCCCATGGGCCAGAGCAGGAACCACCCCACCCCACGCCCATGGGCACGAGAGGGGATGGGGGTTGAGGGGCTTCAGGCTCAGGCCCAGGGGCATGTGGAGTAAGTTCCAAGTCCCCGGGCAGAGACTCAGCAGGTGATAGGGGACAAGGACCAGTGCCATTAGCACAGGGATAGTTCAGGCTCAGATGGAAGAGAGCCCTGGCACCAAAAATATAGAATACCTGGCGTACATCTGGCAATGCTCCCCTGAACTGATGTGTAGATTCAATGTAATCAAATTAAAATTCCAACAATGCTTTTTATAGGAACTGACACACTGATTCTAAAATTTACATGGAAACGCAAAGGACCAAGAATAACCAATGAAATAGCAAAATCGGGGGACCTATCCTTTTGACTTTAAGCCTGTCATAAATCTACAATGTTCCAGATGGCTTGGTATTACAGAAAAGATAGAAATATAGAACAAGGGAACAGAGTAAGGAGTCTAGAAATAAATCCACAGATTTTGGACAATTCATTTGATGAAGATACTACGGTAGTTCAAGGGAAAGAAAGTCCTTCCAATAACGGGGCTGGTCAACTGGAAACCCATGAAAACAGGTGAACACCAACTGTCACCACACATAATCCCCCCAAATTAACTCAAAGTGGGTCACAGACCTAAATCTATAGCCTATTATAAAACTTTACAAGAAAATACATAAGATCTTTGAGACCTTGGGATATAGCCACAGGACTCTTAGAATACACACATACACTCAAACTCATAAAAGAAAAAAATGGGTAAGTTGATCTTCATCAATATCTTTTAAATGTCTTTTGAAAATCACCATTAAGAAAATGAAAGGGGGGAGCCTGGGTGGCTCAGTCAGTGGTGCGTGCGACTCTTGATCTCAGGGTCATGAGCTCGAGCCCCATGTTGGGCATAGAGATTAGTTTTTATTTATTTATTTATTTATTTATTTATTTATTTATTTATGAAATTTATTGTCAAATTGGTTTCCATACAACACCCAGTGCTCATCCCAACAGGTGCCCTTCTTGATGCCCATCCCCCACCCCCCTTCCCTCCCACCCCCCATCAACCCTCAGTTTGTTCTCAGTTTTTAGGAGTCTCTTACGTTTTGGCTCCCTCCCTCTCTTTTTTTTTTCCTTCCCCTCCCCCATGGTCTTCTGTTAAGTTTCTCAGGATCCACATAAGAATGAAAACATATGGTATCTGTCTTTCCCTGTATGACTTATTTCACTTAGCATAACACTCTCCAGTTCCATCCACGTTGCTACAAAAGGCCATATTTCATTCTTTCTCACTGCCACGTAGTATTCCATTGTGTATATAAACCACAATTTCTTTAATGTTTATTCACTCTTGAGAGAAAGAGTGTGAGTGGGGCAGGGGCAGAGAAAGAGGGAGGCACAGAATCTGAAGCAGGCTCCACACTCCGAGCTCTCAGCACAGAGCCCAACGTGGGGCTCGAACTCATGAACCATGAGATTATGGCCTGAGCTGAAGTCTGACGCTCAACTGACTGAGCCACCCAGGCGCCCCTAGAGATTACTTTTTTAAAAAAGAAAATGAAATGAAAAGGTAAGCCATAGATTGGGGGAAAATGTCCACAAGAACTTGTATCCAGAATATGTAAAGCAGTTTTAAAACTCAGTAAGAAGACAGCAGAGAAGATATGTGGATGGCACACAAGCACACGAACAGACGCCCAGCGCCCGTGGGGAACGAGGCAGATCAAGCCGTGTTGAGGCGGCACCACCGCCCATCGGGGACCTGGGTAGAAGACAGAGGACCGAGAGCCCCTGCGCGCTGCCGGGAAGCAAGACGGTGCAGCTGCTTTGGAAAACAGCTTGGTGGTTCCCTAAAAGTGAACACACATCTGCTGAGTCAAAGTCCCACTCCTAGGTATTTACCCAAGAGAAATGAAAACATACATCCACACAAAGACTTGTGTGTAAACATTCGTGGCAGCTCTGCCTGCAACGGCCCAAACCTGGGAAGCACCTGAATGTCCATCTGCAGGTGAGTAAACGAAGCGGTGCGTCCAGACCCTGGAGCACTACTCGGCAGCAAACAGGAGCACGCTCCGTACACACGAAGTGTGGATGGGCCTCAAGATCAGGCTGAAGGAAAGAAGCCCAACAAAATGGTGTCTGATTCCACTTACAGAAGATTCCAGAGATGCAAAGCAGGCTATGGCACAGAGCACGTCAGGGTTGCCTGGATGGAGGTGGAGGCAGGGACCGCAAGCACACAGGACACTCTGGGTACGATCCGAGTGTCGGTGACCTTGATTTTGGTGGTGTTCCATGGTGCATACAGCTGTCAACCCGACCAGACTGCACATTTAACCACGTGCAGTGCCACAGCCTTCAGTTACAGCCCAATAAGGAAAAAGATGCAAGTGACCAACACCTCCAGGGGCCGTGGTGCCGTTCCTTACTCAACGTGGCTGTGTGCTCACCAGAATGAACCCTGTCTAGCACACACAAGCAGGACTCAGCCCCACCACTGCCCCGCCCCGGACCCAGTCGTGGAAACACTCAGCCGCCTCCTGCCTCACCCTCCACTTGCAGAGCCCAGGAGGCCCGCGGTGGCCACACAACCAACTCAGGTGACAAACTCACTTTCCGAAGCCCCGCCCCTCAAGCCTTTGTTGCCTATCCTTGGGTGGGGGCCTCTCCCAGAACCCTGCAGCCACCAGGGCCCAGAAGGGCAGCCTGGGTCACAGAAACACAGGCCCAAACACAGAGCCTTATATACACATGCTCACACTGACTCAAACAGAGCTATATTACACACACACACACACACACACACACATACATACCAGAAACCCAGCCAACAGTGCACATACTGCAGGACCCCCTTGGAGGAGCCAGAGGCAGCCCCTGGGCTCTGGGAACCACACCTGCTGGCCTCACAGCAGGGCAGTCCCAAACCCCTGCCGCAAAATTCATACCTTGTTGTCCTGAACACCTTTGGGCTGCTGGCGGGACTGTGAACACTGGTGTTGTGTCCAGCAGGTGAGGGTCACAGATTCCTTTCTCTACTCTGTAAACCTCCTGGAGGCCCACAGGCAGGGGGACAAGCCCCACAGTGTCCTTCATGTGTGGCAACGCTCGCAGGGGCCGTGGGTGTGTCCTTGCGAGGACAGGTTTCACCAGGGCAGGGAGGAGATCTGGTGCTCACCAAAAACCATGGTGACATCTCGGCCCCCCCGTGTTGACTTCTAGCTGAAAGGTGTCACTCAGCTTTGCCTTGTCTTGCCTTGCCATCAAAGTTAGGAAAGCAGCCCAAGGTCGCTAAGAAAGGCAGCAGTGGGTTTCCAGCTGCGCAGAGAACCCACAACACACCGCCAGCCCCAGGCGCTGGGTCTCATGCTGTTTCTGCAAGCCCCTCTACCCATCAGAAAGACTCAGCAAAACTTCTCCCTCATTCACTTTATTCCTAAAATTCACTCCTTTCAATGAAAATGCAAATACTTTCCCCCTTCATCAGGAACAATCAGCAAAAACAGAAGATGTGATACTTTACTGTTTCTGAATGGGCTTCCTTCTTTTCCTTCCAGCATACATGCACTCCCCTGGTGGAATCATCATTTCTGGCCCTAAAAAAGGGGGGCAGAGCATAAAGTTTGTTATGTTGAAGAGAGCCCAGTGCCCGTATGACTCCCCAAACCACCAAAGGCAGCAGCATCGGCCAAGGTCGGCTGTGTCTCTAATCAAGGAGTCAACACCGAGCCCACGCTGGGGGTCCCACTCCTCCTTGCCAACTGGACAAGATCCAAGGTGATTCTGGCACAAAGCCTGCCCACATGAACCACTCACACCCCCTCTCACTCAGCAGGAAGGTGTTCAAGGGCCACGTGAGGACACACAGCCCTGACCATAACATCTCCCCTTGACCGGCAGCGTCATGGTCCCCCAGCCTGACCTGAGGATCTGAGTCACTACACTCACACAGAGAATAGCCCTCCACTCTTGCACCTGGCTCAGAAAGCTTACACTCTTGCACCTGGCTCAGAAAGTTAAACATCCTGAGCTTGTCCTCAGAAAACAGAAGCTGTTCCACAGGCATCCAGGAGCAGGAGACACGGCCAGGGTCCTAAGGAACAGTTTGCTGTGTCAGGGCTCTCATGGGGCTGTTTCCCTGGCAGGAGCCGCATGCACCCTCTCTTGGTGGAGTTTGTGGTGGGTCTTCTTCCTCTTTCCATCCCTCCCCTTTGTGGCCTTGCACTTCTGAGCCAACAGCCTTCCTCTTTTGTATGTAAAGTCTCGCACTCAGCTCCATAGCCCTGGACTCCACTTTAGCCACTAACTCACGGCTGCAGCCCAGCTGAACACACCCACCAGCCTCCACCAGCAGTGCTGGACATGGCGCCTGTATCTGAGAGTAGGTCCTTAAGGAGTAGCCCAAGACCTGTGTCCTAAGGCTGGTCAGTTCACCCATCACCTCAAGAAGGGCATCAAAATCTTGATTCTTCCATGCAGTGGGCTATCTGAACCCTCATAAACATCCTGTGCAGTGACCACTCATTGCTAGGCACTGGGCGAACAGAGTCGGAGAGTGGGTTAAGAGCCCTCGCCTGGCCTCAAGAAGAGGTAGGCCCAACACACAATGTTCACCCTGTGTGTGAAGTGCCATGAGAACATTGGAAATGTGTAACAAATGTGCTTGAAATATAAGAAACACACTTTGAATATAAAGATATAGGCAGCCAAAGTAAGTGGAGAGGAAAAGATATGCCACGCAAACAGGAATCAGAAGAATCTGGGATAGTTATGTGAGTAAGACAAGATGTAACCAGGGACAAGGACGGATACCGCATGAAGACATAGCAATCCTACACGTGTATGCATCTATAAAATATGTGGAGCAAAAATGAATAAAACTGAACAGATAGTTCGTCAGAGACGTCAACACTCTTGTCTCAGTAATCAATACAATAAGTAAACCGAAAATCAGGAAGGATTTAGAATACCCAAACAGTAACAGACTTGAACTGCAGAACTCTCCACCCAACGACAGCAGAGTGTGTATTCTGTGTACATGGAGCATTCATCAACATAGACCAAATTCCAGGACTTAGAACAATCCTGAACAAATTTAAAAGTATAGAAATCATACAAAGTATGTTCTGTGATAATAATGAGATTAAACTAGAAAGATACATGGAAAATTCCTAGATATTTTGAAAGCAACATGCTTCTAAATAACTATGGGTCAAAGAGAAGGTGTCAAAGAAATTTAAAGTATTTTGAACTTAATTAAAATGAAAACACAACATACCAGATTTTGTGGGACACGGCTGAGCAATACTTTAATGGAAACTGACAGTATTAAGTATTTATATTAGAAAAAAATAAAAGATCTCAAATATTTTGAGCTTCCAATTTAGTAACTAGAAAAAGAGCAAATAAACCCAAATCAAGCAGAAGGACAGAAATAATAAAGAAGAAAAATCAATGAAACTTAAATAGAAGAAGAGAAAAATTGATGAAATCAAAAGTTGGTTCCTTGAAAAGATCAACAACATTGATACACCTCTAGCCAGATGGGTCAAGAAATAGAGAAGACACAAATGACCAAAATCAGGATGAAAGAGGGGTCATCACTACAGATCCCATAGGCATTAGAAAGAAAATTAGAGTATATGACTAGGAACTTACTTGTATCCCCCCAATTCCATATGTTGGAGCCTTAATCCTGCATTGGAAGGGGTGCCTTTAAGGAAGTGATTAAGGTTAAATGAGGTCTTAAAAGTGGAGACCTGACCTGTTAGAACTGTTGCCCTTATAAGAAGAGGAAGAGACACCAGGGGTCTCTCTTCACTATCTGTACAGAGTCATTGCAAACCAAGAAGAGAGCTCTCACTGGAAACCAAATCTGAAGCTTTGGGAAGGTCATGGAGAAGACATGACTGCCAGCTGAACTGTGAGCTGGACCCAGGTACTAGGAAGGTACTCATCCCCTCCCTGTCCTTGGATGTGGGTTCCACTCAACTTTCCTGCTCCCAGAGGCCGGTCCGAGGACACAGCCTTGAGTCGGGGATGTTCTGTTGAGAACACATGCAAAGTATACATGGCTGAGCCCAGTTACGACCTCTTTATGAGCTTTTAAGATATAGCCAGTGAGTATGGGATCTACTCATCTTTCTGCCATCTGAGACAAGCTTTCATATGTAAGTTCTCTTTGCTTATTAAAACTGCCACCTACCGACCTGGGAGTGGCTGCCTCTTTCTTGGTCTCTCCCTGCCCTCCATAAACAGGGGCTAGTTTCAGAATACACCTAGGAAGTTCCTGAGGAGTTTGCAAAACCACCAAGCAGGCACCTGGATCTTGGACTCCCAGCATCCAGAACTGTGAGAAATAAATGTCTGTGGTTTAAGTCACCCAATCTGTGTATTTTGTTACGGCAGCCCAAGCAGACTAAGACAAATGCTATCTCCACAAATCCAACAATTTAGATAAAACAGACCAGCTCCTTGAAAAAAAAACACAATCTACCAAAACTCACTCAAGAAAAAAACTGTTTGCTCTGGTCCTACATCTATTCCAACAACAAACAAACAAACAAACAAACAAACAAACAAACAACAATAACAACCAAAAAACACCTAGGCCCAGATGGTTTCACTCATAAATTCTACCAGTTAAAGAAAAGAGTAATAATACCAATTCTCTGCAAACTCTGGAAGAATATTGAAATGAAAATTGAAAATTGAAAACTCATTTATAAGTTCAACATTACTCTGATACAAAAACCAAAGACATTTCAAGAAAACTATAGACTGATATCTCCCATGAACACAGACACAAAAATCCTCAATCAGATATTAGCAAATGGAATCCAGCAAAACAAACAGGGCAAAACATCACCACAAGTGAGGGTTATCCAAGAATTCAAGGCTGCTTCAACATCCAAAAACTGATCACTGTAATTCACTACATTAATAAACTAAAGAAAAAATACATATGACCATCTTACACATGCAAAAAAGGTATTTAACAAAATCCAAACCCATTCATAACAATGAAAAACTCTCATCAAGCTAGGAATAGAAGAAAACTTAATTACTCTAATAAAGGGCATCTACAGAAATGCCTACACCAGCGTTACAACCCACAGCGGGAAACTGAGCTTGTCCTCTGAGTTCACAGGCACGGCCCTTCATTTCCCTTCCTACTCTGTGCCACATGTGTGTCCTAGTCAGGGCAATAAGGTGAGAAAAAGCAATGCCAGAACATTGGGAAAGGGAGAGACAGAACTCTATTCCCAGACAACACAACTATACATACAGAAAATTCCAAAAAGTTTACTAAGGTAAATGTCTTATAATAATTGAGTTCAGCAAAGTCAAAGGGTAAAAGGACAAGATACAAAAGTCAAGTGTGTTTCTGTAGAGTAGCAATGAACAATCAGAACACAGATTTTTAAAAAGCAGTACCATTTATAATAGCACCAAAATAAAAATGAAATACTTAGGGATTTCAAGAAGTTCACTATGTGTATACCTGGGCTCTAAAGAGTAGGAGGTTATAGAAGGCAACAGAAAGAAATTTAATAAATAGCAAAAACTTGTCCAAACATAATATAAACTTACAGATTTAAGAAGGTCATTAAGTTCCAAGCACAAAAACATTTAAAAAAATTACAGCAAGGCCAGTCATAATCAAATTGCTCATAACCAGTGATATATAGAACAATGTTAAAAGCCACCAGAGAAAATGGCCATCGGGTACAGAGAAACAAAGGTAAGAATGAAAGTGGGTGCCTCATCAGAAAAGCGTAGAGACTACGTCTTTAAAGCACGGAGAGAAAAACCCTGAAACTTAGAATTCCACACCGTTTGAACATAGCTTTCAAAACTGAAGGCTAGAGACTTTTTCAGACATACACAAGCTGAAAGAATTCACTGCCAGCTGACCCACGCTATAAGAAATGTGAAAGGGTGTCTTCAGGCCAAAGGAAAATGATACCAGATGGTAACATGGGTCTACAAAATGCAACAGGAGGCACAGAAAACAGGAACTGCTGGGTACAAAACCAAGGTTTGTTCTTACTATTTAAATGTCTTCAAAAGATAACTGTTTAAACAGCAATGATAACAAGGGATCGTGGGGTTTATAACATATGTAGCTGTCAGGGCAACTGTAGCAACTATAGCGCCTGGGCCAGGAGGGGAAGATTGAAGGACCCTGGGGCAGGCTCCTATGCTGTTGTTCCCTAGGAGGTAGACTCGTCCTCAAAAGTTGTGCAGGTATCCATTTACCATTTATTGCCTCCAGGCTCCAAATCCACCCCTCCTTGCTCGTTCTGCATGCATGGCAGACCCTTCAAGCATTTCTTCTTTATATAGCACAGTATGGCCCCTGCCAGCAGAGGCCCTGGAGGGACTTTGCAGGAATAAGGGGCTTCTGGTCCCAGGGTTTTAGATTTTCCTTTGCTCCGGTTCACCACCACCAGAGGTGGAGAAACTCAGTGACCTTCTCCACCATCCACGGGGCTGAACTATACCCTCTCCAGGCCCGAGGGACCATGTCCAAGGGCATGCTTTCAGCATGCTCTCTCTGCCAGCCCTGGAGTACCCTCAGAGTCGTCTTGTC